TCGTGGACACACCAGGCGATGCCATCAGCCGATGCCATCGGCCGATGGCATCGGGCGATAATATCAAAACGTTTTGATCTGTGCGATGCCATCGGCAGCGATTGAGTGGACACACCAGGCGATTTTCACGCCGATGCCATCGGCCGATGGCATCGGGCGATAATATCAAAACGTTTTGATCTGTGCGATGCCATCGGCAGCGATTGAGTGGACACACCAGGCGATTTTCACGCCGATGCCATCGGCCGATGGCATCGGCCGATGGCATCGCCTGGTGTGTCCGGCCCTTAAGATGAAACTAGTTCAAACCGTTTGTTCTCTCCCTCATTGCAAGAACAAATAAAAGCAATTCAGCAGGGTCAAAAAGATTACCACACAAAATATTGTTACTTTCTGCTACTGCTTAGGTACAACCAGCGTGGGAAGGGTCAGGAAAGGGACGTCCTGCAGCACGGAATACAATTCATGCCGTCAGAGACGACCGTGCGCAGTCTGCTAGCTCCGCTCACCAAGCCCGCTAGCCTGCATGCCGTCGGGCAGCACTGATATGACGATGCCGCTCGTCACCACTTCCCGGCTCCAGTCAATACGGCTGCTACGGTAAGACTGAAACGGAGAGGCACATCGGGGAAACGGAGAGGCAAGTCGGGTATGGCTGCAGTAGCGACAATGCCACTGCCTACCCAGCCATTGCCACCTCCGCCTCTGCAAAACATTGCAGTGTACGTGGCTCCTCCTGTGTATTCCATGGTTCCTGTTCCATATACCACACAGAGGTATCAGAAGAGGAAGGCTGAACGAGCAGCAGGGCATATTTCATAGGAAATATAATATAAAAAAAGCGGAATCGTTGTCTGCAAGCAATGCAGACAACAAAGAAATGCTCCAGACCACCAGCAGTATTTTGGCAACTGGTATTGCGCACAGACGCAACAATTTCAATTAATGAGTGGCGAAATGGGCTGTTGGCCAAAGGCTATGGCAAAAAAAGCAGTAATGGTGTGGCGGTGTGGGGGCGGAGATGCTGTCGCATAACTATTGCGTGCAGAGAGAGCACGTGTGTGTGTGGTTCATCTTGATCTTGATATAAGCTTACCACACATGCATATTTACTGTTTGCTTTGATTAAGCACTTAAAAATACCGTGTTGTGTATAGTTTTAGACATTTTGGTCTGAATACATAATTACATATAACATATTTTTTATACACATAATTACATCTGGCACTGTATCTGGGAGAAAAGTTGGACCGCTATCATTATAACTGTTCTGCATTTTTTTTTATTATATCTCTTGTTCTCTTCATAATGTACCCTGTGTGCATCAAGCATACTCATACACATGATACGATGTAAATTCTATAGATTTGTGGTTTGTGGATGAAAAATTTGTTGTATATTGTTACGAATATTGTTACGAATAGTATGTTGTTTGTTTAAATCTTATTTTGTGTAATGTTATTTACACGCGCGTTTTATACATATTTTTGAAAAGAGTATATCAAATTAAATATTCTTTTCTACACATAAATATAATCTTGTGTTTGTCTCAATACCAACTCTATACTAGCCACATTACATGGTACATTACATATTGTCTCTGAAAATATGTATTCTCCCCGTATTTTCAACCTGTGTAACTATACCTATGCATAGGCATGATGTGCCTGTGGGAAGATCCAGGTTCAACCCCTATAGCAGAGGAAAAGCATAATTACTTTGAAAAGATAATACATTTCTGAATAATTATCTAATCTAAGATAACTTAATAATGAATTAACACTGAGTACATAATACAATATATACATAACCCTAAAACCAACTCGTAGCACACAAAGTAATTACATGAACAGCGGCATGTTAAGGTTAACACTACAACTCAATTCATAATTCCCGGTTCCCGCCATGGGGTTAACAGGTTAATTAGCAAAGTTGGTAGGAGAACAGAGACTCATGGGCGCGGTCCTTGCTCAGTCGGTAGAACGTGCTTTCCTTGCTCAGTTGGTAGAGCACGGGACTCTTAATCCCGGGGTCGTGGGTTAAAGCCCCACGTTGGGCGATATCATTTTGAAATCACGAATCTTTTACTATAAACTATATACTACTACTATACTATGCTATCCAAACTATATACTAGGAACTTGAAAATGTGAATACATTTTCTACGCGTATCTCCCGGACATCGTCATGAATTATATGCTATTTTAATTCAATTCCCCATCTACGGTAATATCTACTAAAAATACCTAATCGCTACTCCCCGACGGGAATTGAACCCGTCCCGCGTGACAGGCGGGGGATACTAACCACTATACTCATCGAGGATGTTCTTATTACAAATTTACTGCAAAAAGGACGAACATTTGCATAACTCCTAAATCCTCATAGGTGATCAAATGCCCTATAAAGAACTACTCCGCCACTCCCCGACGGAGCAATGAAGCCGTTTCCCTCGCGCGACAGTCACGGATGCTAAAGACCAAACGCTTGTGGATATATCTACGTGCTTGTCTCAAATTCATCGCAATGAAATGTTCGATGTGCGCGCAGTGCTGAAAAGTTCCGGTGCTTACAATTAAACATCACCCATTGTCAGACTGAAGCAACTCCCTGCATACAGCTATGAATCCAGATTTTTCAGGAATCATTCTAAAACGCTTACAATTTTTCTATTCATACCAAGACGTGCACTTCCCGATTCCTATACAGCATTTTAGCGCTACCACCAGCCCGGCTAGCTCAGTCGGTAGAGCACGGGACTCTTAATCCCGGGGTCGTGGGTTCAAGCCCCACGTTGGGCGATATCATTTTGAAATCACGAATCTTTACTATAAACTATATACTACTACTATACTATGCTATCCAAACTATATACTAGGAACTTGAAAATGTGAGTAAATTTTCTACGCGTATCTCCCGGACATCGTCATGAATTATATGCTATATTAATTTCAATTCTCCCGTCTACGGTAATATCTACTCGAAACTCCCCGACGGGGAATTGAACCCAGGTCTCCGCGTGACAGGCGGGGATACTAACCACTATACTATCGAGGATGTTCTTATTACAAATTTACTGCAAAAAAGGACGAACATTTGCATAACTCCCAATCCTCATAGGTGATCAAATGCCTATAAAGAACTACTCCGCCACTCCCGACGGGAGCAAATGAAGCCGTTTCCCTTGCGCGACAGTCACGGATGCTAACAACCACACGTTGTGGATATATCTACGTGGCTTGTCTCAAATTCATTCAATGAAATGTTCGATGTGCGCGCAGTGCTGAAAGTTCCGGTGCTTACAATTACATCACCCATTGTCAGACTGAAGCCACTCACTGCATACAGCTATGAATCCAGATTTTTCAGGAATCATTCTTAAACGCTTACAATTTTTCTATTCATACCCAAGACGTGCACTTCCCCGATTCCTATACAGCATTTTAGCGCTACATCACCAGCCCGGCTAGCCTCAGTCGTAGAAGCACGGGACTCTTAACCGGGGTCGTGGTTCAAGCCCCACGTTGGCGATATCATTTTGAAATCACGAATCTTTACTATAAACTATAATTAGTACTATTACTATGCTATCCAAACTAATATACTAGGAACTTGAAAATGAGTAAATTTTCTACGCGTATCTCCCCGACATCGTCATGAATTATATGCTATTTTAATTTCAATTCTCAGTCTACGTAATATCTACTAAAAAAATATCTACTCGAAACCCGACGGGATATGAACACCGGTCTCCCACGTGACAGGCGGGGATACTAACACTATACTATCGAGGATGTTCTTTTTACAAATTTACTGCAAAAAGGACGAACATTTGCATAACTCCTAAATCCTCATAGGTGATCAAATGCCCTATAAGAAACTACTCCGCCATGCACTCCCCGACGGAGCAATGAAGCCGTTTCCCCGCGCGACAGTCACGGATGCATACAACACACGCTTGTGGATATATCTACGTGCTTGTCTCAAATTCATCGCAATGAAATGTTCGATGTTCGCACAAAGTGCTGAAAGTTCCGGTGCTAATAAATATGCACCCTCCTGTCAAAATAAAGCAACTCCTGCATGTATACAGCTATGAATCCCGATTTCCGATTCCTATACAGCATTTTAGCATTACATCACCAGCCCGGCTAGCTCAGTCGGTAGAGCACGGGACTCTTAATCCCGGGTCGTGGTTCAAGCCACCGTTGGGCGATATATTTGAAATCACGAATCTTACTATAAACTATTGCTATCCAAACTATATACTAGGAACTTGAAAATGTGAGTAAATTTTCTACGCGTATCTCCCCGACATCGTCATGAATTATATGCTATTTTAATTTCAATTCTCCCGTCTACGGTAATATCTACTAAAAAATATCTACTCGTAACTCCCCGACGGGGAATTGAACCCCGGTCTCCCGCGTGACAGGCGGGGATACTAACCACTATACTATCGAGGATGTTCTTATTACAAATTTACTGCAAAAAAGGACGAACAATTGCATAACTCCTAAATGCTCATAGGTGATCAAATGCCCTATAAAGAACTACTCCGCCACTCCCCGACGGAGCAATGAAGCCGTTTCCCTCGCGCGACAGTCACGGATGCTAACAATCAAACGCTTGTGGATATATCTACGTGCTTGTCTCAAATTCATCGCAATGAAATGTTCGATGTTCGCACAAAGTGCTGAAAAGTTCCGGTGCTAATAAATATGCACCCTCCACTGTCAAACTAAAGCAACTCCCTGTATACAGCTATGAATCCCGATTTCCGATTCCTATACAGCATTTTATCGCTACATCACCAGCCCGGCTAGCTCTCCGGCGGGGCCGTGAGTCGATGCCATATCTTGGTAATATCTTGGTAGCGTTGACCAATCACAGCCCAGACCGCTACCAAGAATTGGACTCCAGCTACCAAGAATTGACCAATCACAACCAAGACCGCTACCAAGATTTGTTTCCATCGCTACAACGCTGAGTGACGCGCAGCTGGGAGCAGCCCACAGTGAGTCAACATTCATAACAACAGTGTGGTCACCGTTATGCCGGTTCGTTTAATGACAGATCAGAGCGACTCAACCGTAAGTTTAGAATATATACTACTAGAATTACTGTTAGAAAGCATACATCTAACAATTCACAAAGATAGCACTGAATGTAATCTGTTTTGAATGTATATCTTTACTATAAATTGGGGAATTTCTGTCTGAGTGTGTGTGTGTGTGTGTGTGTGTGTGTGTGTCCGGCTATACGTTTCCGCACCGCTCAACGGATCCCGGGGTCGTGGGTTCAAGCCCCACGTTGGGCGATATCATTTTGAAATCACGAATCTTTACTATAAACTATACTACTACTATACTATGCTATCCAAACTATATACTAGGAACTTGAAAATGTGAGTAAATTTTCTACGCGTATCTCCCCGACATCGTCATGAATTATACGCTATTTTAATTTCAATTCTCCCGTCTACGGTAATATCTACTAAAAATACCTAATCGCTACTCCCCGACGGGGAATTGAACCCCGGTCCCGCGTGGCAGGCGGGGATACTAACCACTATACTATCGAGGATGTTCTTATTACAAATTTACTGCAAAAAAGGACGAACATTTGCATAACTCCTAAATGCTCATAGGTGACCGAATCGAATACATTTTGTGGAAGTTTCTCTGTTCGTCTGTTCTCGATTCAAATCTATATGGGCCACTCTAGATATGTCCAAGGATGCGCCATTACATGTTTAACGTTGGATGCCTGATGTCATAAGGGCCACATTGGATTGACCTCCGAGGTCATGCCTCAAAACATCGCATAAAGAGAAAAAATATGAAATCAATGCCCTCCCCGCAGCAGCGTTCAAACTCAACGCCGCATCTGTACGCCAGCGTTTAATAAACCCGGCCCATGCAGAGCCGGCATTCACTTTGCACTAGACTTGCACACTGACTTGAGTACAATCGCTGTCGTAAAAGCATTGAGTTAACAATACATTCCAATAGCATGCAGTTGATGTCCTCTACACTCCGCAGCGCATGCGTGACTCTCCGCTCGATTACAACCTTCAGCTCCTGTCAGCGACTTGACCGTGATGTCAGCCATGAATGCTCGCAGCGCCGCGACCGAGGATTAGACACTTCTGTGTCTTCCAATTAACAGCGTACGCCGCACCTCTCCTTTAAATAATTCTAAAGGTGGCGACCGCCATTGAGGGTACGAGAATCGCGATCTCAAGAACTACAGGGCATTCTGCTAGGCTAGACACGGTTTCCTACGATAGACTTTTGGCACGAAAAACAAAAATAATACGAACTGTTTAGTGGGCACATACGCTAACGTTCTCTTCTGTTGGCATGTTCTTCTCGCATCTCCGTAAATCGGAATAACGCCCCGCTCTTCTTCGTTGATTGACACTGGAATGTGGCGTCAACGACGTGAACCCAGAGTTACTGCGTTTAGTAGGATGTTTGGCGCAACTGTTTGATTTTTATCGTAAATAATGAAACAGGCCCGGCCGATGCAATTTTGCATCCGAAGTGAAAATTTTCCTGAAATTTTTACCTGCTTTCGAAGTGAACGGGTGCGTCAATTCATCGGGGGGTTGACATTTGAAGTCTTTTCTAATTCAAAATTAACAGAATTCCGAAATTCCCTGACGGCACTACTCCGACTTGTTTTAGCCACATGAACATTTGAGCTGTCGCTGCACGTCTTGGCACGCGCTCGCCTGCTCTATGGCTTGGCTAGCGGGCACCTGACGATGGATATCGGAAGCAGGCCCTCGCAACACCCTGTGTTGTTTTTCCATTAGGCTTTGTGTACATCAGGATGGGCGTGCGGGAGTTCTGCGATATAACCACCTAATTTCTCCGAATGTTCTTAGTGCAATGGCAACATTTTAACAATTTAGTGTGTCAGTTAGTCAGCGGATATGGTCAGCAGTACAGTTACTAACCGTAAAATGTTTCACATACGCGTTTCATTCACTAATTTGCACACAGGCGGTGAATTCATTGTGAAAAATTCTCTGTGAATATTTATTTTTATTGAGACGTTCCACAGTCTGTGCCTTTCCAACAGTCTTCCTACGTCAATGCAACGTTTGCTCAAGAAGCGACTAACTCAACACAGATTTCATCTCTGTTATTTTTACGTCTTGAGCAAGGCGCTGAATGCGTGATTGATCAAGAAGCAACATTTGACAACATTACGCTCGAACAACATTGAGGAGATTTATTTTCTTTGGGTTTCCGAAAACACAATTCCACTTGACAATTTCATGGCGCATTTCAAGGTTGGTAGCTTCTGCATAATCCGCACCCCTGAGACCTTTGACTGATAGTAAAAAAATTGGAAGGTTGTGTACTATTGCTGTTATTATACCGCCAATAGTTTTCTTATTTAAGAACAAAGTCTTCATTGTTCATCCTTCTGAAACTACAGACATCCCGCTGACCGCTGTGGAGACGTGCGCGGCCTCGAATTTGCGCACGTCTCGCACTGCGGACAAGCGCTTCATACTTGAACATCCGATGCGGATCCGTGCGCATATCCGCTGCGCAACTGCATGCGACCGTCTATTCCAGGCGCAGCGCTCAGGATCAAGCAAGCTGTGCCAACGCAAATATAATTGTATGCATGGTCTCTCTGGATACCAGAGTGTGCACAGACTATAGCACTATAGGAACTAATACGAGTGGTTCGCTCAAATAGATAGATAGATAGAATGGATGGATGGACTGGACGGACGGACGGCGGGCGGACGCGACGGAACGGACGACCGACCGCGGACCGACGACGAACGACCCGCCCGACCCCGAATCAAGCCGAACGACCGAACGCCGACGTAGTCCGAACCACGCCAAGCACAGACGCGCAAGACCCGACAGGACAGGACAGGCGGGAAGGCAGGCAGGCAGGCAGAAGGCAAGGAAGAGCAGGCGCCAGACGAACAGACAAACACGTGGACACAAGACAGAAGAACAGACAGACCCCGATCAATTACGATAGATGGAATGGATGGGATGGGAATGGATGGATGAATGGATGGATGGATAAGATAAGATTAGATAGATCGCATCAGAATAAAAAATAGATAGATAGATCGATAGATAGATTAGAATACATCCATAGATAGACTAGATAGACCTAGATAGAATAGATAGAGTAGATAGAAAGAGATGAGTGTAAATAGAATAAGATAGATAACGAGATAGATAGAATAGAGTAAGATAGATAGATAGATCAGGGATCAGAATAGATAGATAGATACGAGTAGATACAGATAGATAGATAATAGAGATACAGATGGATAGATAGATAGATAGATAGATAAAGTAGATAGAGAGCTGGATGGATGGATAAGATAGATAGAGTAAGATAAGTAGATAGGATAGATAGATAGATAGATAGATAATAGAGATAGATCGAACCGATAGATAGATGGATGATGGATGAATGGTGGATGGACAGGACGGAGGGACGGAGGGACGGAAGGGACGGACGGATGAGGACGACGGACGGACGCCCAGACAAACAAGACAGACGAGCAGGCAGACAGACAGACAGACAGACAGAACAGTACAAGACAGACACGACAGAACCCAGACAGACAGGTGTACGAGTGACAGACAGACCCAGACAGACCAGACAGGAACAGACAGAACAGACAGACAGACAACTCAAATCGATAGATGGATGGAGTGAAGATGGATTTGGATGGTCTAGAATGGATGGATGGACTCGGATGGAAGATAGATAGTATACATAGATAGGATAATTTTCATATGAATAGATAGATAGATCTACATACATTTTACATACATACTACATAGATAAGATACATAGATAGAATATGATAATAGGAGTAGATAGATAGATAGATAGATAGATAGATTAGATAGATAGAATAGATAGATAGATAAGATAGATAGGATAGATAGATAGAATAGAATAGATAGGATCGATAGACTAGCATAGATAGATAGATAGATAGATCGTAACTAGATNTGCTGCGCCGCTTCTTCTCGGGGCCAGAGCACACGCAACATATATAATTATATTACTAAATATATTCGTGGCAAATAGGTATGTAGCAGAACTATACATGGGGGTTCATCAAAAGCAATGAGAGAAATGTAGCATAACTGATAGCGACTGGACACTGCTTTTGCACAACTCACTGAACTGGACAGTGGAGCATGCGACAGGGACACTGATTTTAGACTATATAAGTATAACTACCGGTACAGCTTTTCCTTCCAAAAATGTTGGGCGAATAGGAATTATCATTTTGCATGATATCACAATTAAAGAAATAATACAATTATTCCTCATTTAGAAAAGGATGATCGAGTAAGAATCAACCAAGATTAAACCCAACTTCTTTCCATGGTAGTCATGCTACCTACAGTACTAGATTTTTAGTCTAGTATTTTGCAAACTTACATACTATGCAGTGGCTGCACTGTTAGTATTTCATGTGTCTTTGTTTGGGTCTACATTTGTCCACGCTCTTTTTTTTTGCTTAAAGTAGGCCCCTACTTAATGCTAATTAGTGCTGAGAGGGTCTATGTACCCCAGGGTACTGCTGGAGCGTACCACCCGGGTACGCTCTCGTAATACTGCGAAGCCTACCTGTGGGGACCAGAACATATAAATCAACGTCGATTTATATGCTTGCCTATCGGTACTATCTAATATGCCGCGACCGTACCTCGCCTACTGCACTAACGAGATCTAGGGAGTCGCCCTACGCCTATTCCTACTTAACCCTAACCATAATCAGATGAGTTTACCAGCGTACGGTTCCCGGTATACCGGACCGTACCCAGGGTACGTTCCGGCAGTACCCTGGGGGACATAGACCCTATGAGCCTAATTAGTATCCATGTAAAGTATATCAGTTTTGACTGTATACATTTTTTATAGCTGATTTAAGTTTCATTTATTTAAGATGAGGATGCAGCTGAAAAGGGAACGATAACATGTGTTTCTGTTTAATTTGTCCTTTATGTCAAAAATGGATCCGGCCAACTCAGATTGAGGATCGATCCACACTCGCTGTCACCCAAACATAATTATCTGCGAGTAAAGCTTATAAATTCAGATATCTGTTCAGTTTTTACATTGCTCACCTGTCACCTGGGGACTAGGAACGGCCAGCATGTCGTGTACGCCGACTGACAAATTACTGCTCCTGCGTACAGCGCTAGCCAGCGAGGCATGACTGCTGTGGTAGCTATCAACTGGAGAGTCTTGTTTCACTGTCACTGTATGTCCAGTCTCAACATTCTCGAAGGAGAAGATCGGTTTCTCTGTACTTTGCCTGTCAGAGGGTAATTATTCTATAAAAATCACAATTTTTTAACTGTTATGTGATAATGTGACTAGTATAGTGCATAAATAGGTGCACTACTATAGGCCTATTGCACCCACGTGTGATCAGTGACTGGTTTTATCTGTAGCTGAACCTATATATTTTTGCTATTATGAGAGGAATGCATGGATCCAATATTTTAGTAATAATAATATATCATACGTGTGGAACTCTCATAATATAATGATTGCAGCTTAGTAACGCCCGTAGGGTCTGTCCCCCAGGGTACTATCGGAGGGTACCCTAGGTACGGTTCGATATATCGGAACGTACCCTGGGACTATCTATAATATGCCGGACCGTACCTTGCCCCCCGTACCTCGCCTACTCAACTAACGAGTCTAGGGAGTCGCCTACGCCTACTACCAACCCTAACCATATCAGATAGTTACCATGCAACCTATCAGGGTACGTTCTGATATATCGAACCGTAACCAGGGTAGTGAGGGTACCCTCCGATAGTACCCTGGGAGACATAGACCCTATGAGCCTTAGTAACGATATAGTTAATTTAGAATATGACATATAAAATTTCTTCTCACCTGCCCCCGTAGCTTTCTCCACTCAAAGAACGAAGCCGTCTATGCCCAGGAGACAGCTGTACTGTTGGGGTTACTTCTTCCGAGTCATTTTTAAGTAGTTGTTCCTTGTCTCCGTGACCCGCCATGGTGCTCTCTATGCTTTTCTAATTCACCGAACTTAGTTCACGGCTAGAGTATCGCAATTGGCTTTTCAAAGTCTTGCCTGCATGGTAGGATGCGAATTATGACATGAAGAAACTCGACCAGCTGCCAATCCGACGATCCATCTTTGGAAATCGGCTGTACAGTTAACACTGCAACAATAAACAATACTATAGTGTGGATACCGTGGCTACTAGAGTATTTACGCGATTATACTCAAAATACAAATACATTAATCGCATTATCAGATTTAATAGCGTACGTAAACTGCTATATTTGAAGTTACCTCCTTACAAACCGTCCCCACACGTACAGTAGTCAAAAGCATCGATGGTTGTTGTTTGCCGTAGTGCATTACCTGTCCACTGTGTGGCAGCACCTACCAGCTACGCCGAAGATCTATATATAACGGGTCATACTTTGGTTATACCTAAAAACCTGCCTAGTGCCAAATTGCCCCACTCCGTCTCTGGAAATGGCTGCTTTCTCTGTTATCGTTATAGATGGTTCATTAGGCCTATATATGTATATCAGACGTAATAAAGTTGACTTATTTTGTGAGTTTGTACACAGTGGCGTGCTTGTGGCGAAGATCGACGCGCTATAGCGTGCGTGCGTGCGTGCGTGCGTGTGTGTGTGTGTGTGTGTGTGTGTGTGTGTGTGTGTGTGTGTGTGTGTGTGTGTGTGTGTGTGTGTGTGTGTGTGTGTGTGTGTGTGTGTGGTGGTGTGTGTGTGTGTGTGTGTGTGTGTGCATGTGTGTGTGTGTGTGTGTGTGTGTGTGTATGTGTGTGTGCGTGCATGCGTGCGTGCGTGCGTGCGTGCGTGCGTGCATGTCCATGCACACGTGGGCGTGTATTTGCATGTTAAAATATTTGCGCAATGGTGTGCATGCGCCGAGAGTGCCGTTGCAGAGTATATAGCGTTTGAATAGCATTGCATGTGCACATATTGTACAATTTGTATTTAGTTACCATCATTATATATTGTGATCTATATGTCTCTTTGTATGATTTTTGTATATAATCTATTCATTGTAAATCTATCTATTGTATATTGTATATATATATATATATTTTATATACTATAGTGAGTATATAGTGTATATAGTGTATATATTATAGTATACATATAGTATATATAGTAGTATATAGTGTATAGTGTAAATAGTGTCGAATAAATGTATGAATTGTATGAAAAAACAGATTGCAAACATGTATATAACGATCATTCAAAGTGCTGCTGTTACGGTAGCAAGGACCATACCAAAAATAAAATAAATAGCCTAACAACAAATTAAAAAACAAAGCACGACGTCCAGTTGTTTCTTTGCGCTCCCACAATTCCGCAAACAGAAATGGCGCGTTCCTGAATATTGCATAGGATGCGCTTGTTGAATTTATACTGTGCAAGGCCGTAGCTGCGTGCTTGTGCTGAATTCTTACTACAAAATGGTTTCAACGTCTTTACAATGGACTGTCGCTGTGCTAATTATTATTATAGCAGGCTCATTTTTGCAACGGCAACAAAAATCGCGCGAACGTTTAGACAGTGTCGTTGTTTGGCTTGACGAGTACGATTTGTTTACATCCAGTGGCAGTGCAAGTAATCGAGATCGTTTCGACGTTTTAGCGAAGCACGGTAATACATGTGACGATAGTTTTATTGGCACAGCGGATAGCGTGTTACGTCAGGGTGACAACCTACCTAATAAACTATGTCACGTGCTGACTTCTAAGGAGCTTAATTTCATGCAGAAGTTGCAGGGCTATAATCCTAGATTAAATTGATGTTAGACTCGCTGGCAGCAAGAACAACCCCGCACGTACAGCACACACGCGGCCATTGACTATAAAAGTATAATAACAACTTTAACTCCGACGTTGTTATTATAGTCAATGGCCGCGTGTGTGCTGTACGTACGGGCTTGTTCTTGCTGCCAGTGGTTAGACTCAGAGTAAAATACTAGTACTAGTAGGGGAAATGCATTAACCTAGTCTTTTAGTTTTATGCAATAAGTGAACTTCATTCCTATGCTCAAATTAAAAAGAGTTTCCTGCTGTTATGCCGCCGGATGCAGGGGCGTAGCTACGGGGGGGCCTGGGGGGGCCCGTGGCCCCCCACAAATTTTCTGTGCCCCCCCAACTGAAAATTCATGCTTGATAAAAAAAAATTGAATTAAAAACAATGCCGTTAGAACAGTATAATACAAAGAAAAGTTATATATTGTGCCCCCCTCACGAAAATGTAAGGCCCCCCCCTGCCCCCCCCCCCCGCTGAAAAAATCCTAGCTACGCCACTGGCCGGATGTCATTTTAGGGGATGTGATTGGTGTTGGCCACAAGAAATGACTGAAATCTCTCTTCAATTTGTGCATGATATAGGTGTAGACATAGTGTAAGCTGCAATCTCACTGCAGCTTCCTCATGAAATGCAATGTAGGTGGCATGCGGCGGTAGGTTGTGTTCATGATGTAACGCACTGCCGGAAACACACATCACATGCTTGTGTTGTATTGCTATGTTGTAAAACTACCGGTGTCTATATAAGCAAAACCATGAATGAACGTTCAGGTGTACACATGGTAAACATAAATAGAAATAGATATATCCAAGGAGGCAAGCTATTAAACTGCAATATGGTAACACAGTCCTTGTGTTTTGGAAAAAGCAGGCGAGTGAAAAATCGCACACCTTGGCTCGCCGAGGTGTGTGATTTGCATCGGAGTGCCCGCAGGTCACGAGGCAAACTAGGGGTGTTCGGTGGCATGCCCCCCCCCGGAAAATATTTGAAAACTAGACTTCATGAAATGCCATTTCCAGCATTTTGGGCTAAAAATTAGCTCTGCATTTGTACTATTAATTTTGACATTTTTTAGGTGATTTTTTTTTCATCTAACAAAATATCAGTTCTTGGACATGTGGATAACTAGAATCACACATTTAGCATGTTTAGTCAAAAAGGAACAACACTCAATTTTTCAAAGTAGACTATTAAAACTTTATCTAAAAATACAACCAATCACATTCGTCATTCTAGAGCGCTTTGCGACTGTCGTTATAAACATGTGAACCGACTTCCGGCAATGTCTGTGATGTTTAAAACCATTTGCGTTTATCTTCGAGTTTATAAGTTGAATTAATGAAAAATAAAACACGAAAAGAAAAGAAAAAAAAAAAAAAGGTGTGCGTTTTGATAATGCTTAGGTGCGCGTTTTTTCGCACTTCTCGTGATCAATCGAGGCGCGCGATGGCGCGTGAGCGCGATCGCGCACCTTAAAACACAAGGTCTGTAACAGGGTGCGAAATTAACGGTAGTCCGGAGTCAAATACTTCCTGATTTACTGTCAGACTCCCTGATTTGACATATATGCAGGAGTCCGTGTGACTCCCTGAAAATTCTGCCATACTAACTAGTTTGTTCCAGAGCACGGCCTCTCGGAATTACCATATTTTTTCAGCTAATATCCCAAGAAAATTTGGCAGACGTGCAGTCGCATGAATTTTAAAAATGAGCACATGCATTATTGTTAATATCTTTAATTTTGAACCTCAGACTCCGTTGGACTCCCGCAGTGGCGTAGCCAGGGGGGCGATGGGGGCGGTCGCCCCCCCTAAGATTTAGAAGGCTACCTTATTTAAACCAGCAGGACTGTTTCAAGTCGATAAAACATGCCAACAACATGCATCCGCCCCCCCTCCCTTAGATTTAATCCTGGCTACTCCACTGGACTCCCGTGTTCAAAAGTTTATTTCTACCTCTGTGGTAACCACACATACAAATGTAGAAGCATCTGCTTATGCAAATGCATGAAAATACATCTCAATATTGACATATATTTGAAATTGTAAAGACGTCCAGATGTTGAATTATTTTTAACGTTGAAAATACCTCCTAATATTTACACCCTGTCAAATACTAAATGTCATTCTATCTTAACTATTGTAAATCTCAATTTTTCTTTGCTCACACGCTATTTAAACAGTAATCACATATTGGCGACTATGGGGCTTAGCTATATAATTGCCTATATGAACAAAACCACACATGTATGCAAATTTAGAAGCACAAATGGCAAACAAAAAGATTAACATGTATAGGTGGCAGCACTGTATCATTTGTTTTAATGCTATAATAACTGGGACTTATGAGACTCGAGAGCAAGGCACATCAAAACAAATTATTGTTCGATGCCACCTATATCTGTTTTTATTTGAGTTATTATTTATTATGTATATATATGGTCACAACAGTTGTTTGGCATTCAGACATGGGAATTTTTCGTGGATCCGCAGATTTCAGAGTTTTTTGCGGACCACCTAGGTCAATTATTGAGAAACATACAAATCCGTTGAGATATTGGGGGGGCGGTAGATGTGGGTGGGTGGAGGGTGGATTGAACCCCTGTGTGTGTCCCGCCAACGAAAGTATGTAATTGCACTGCTAATTAATTGAGAAGAAATAGCAGTCTTGTCTCGCGAAAAGAAAGTTAGGAAACACCGCTTCTCGATACAACCAGTATTTACTTTTTGCGCACTGGTAGAAGCATTGGCCAATCAAATGCATTGTTTTAAAGAGTGCGTTTACCAGCGCTAACTTGTATCAAATGCGAGTTTTGATAGGTCCAAAATGGCATCAGTGCAGGAATTCTCCGGTCTCGCCCAATGGAATTCAAAGAGTATTCCAGTTTTTGCGTTGTGGAATTTGAAATGGTGAAAATTCTTGATATAACCGATGAAAATCTTGTTCGTGAAATCGACAAAATTGTTCCAAATAAGTTTAGATAGGCGTTTTAAAAGTTTCTCATTAAAAATTAGGTATTTTGTCTTTTGTAAATTATGAATAATTGTACCTCCAGCTCCAGAAGTCATCAGATGCGATCTCAGCTCGAGCCTCTTCTCTCTGAAGGTTTTGAGGCTTGCAGCCTGGCAGATGTCGTAGGGGGTGTAGTTGGTTCCATCGCCAAGGATTATTGTCTCGAAAATGGACTTTTTGCCATTAGCTATTGTTATGAAATCGGAGAGCAAGAGAGATTTAGTCTTGAAGATCCTAGGGGGTGCACGATTCACCTAGAAGATTCTTTTAAAAGGCTGAGCTCTGTCCGTGTATGGCTTTGTGGACTTCTGCGGCATTTGTTAGAAATATTGATTGGCAATATTTTCACTTTAATTAATGGCTATAATAGCTACATCAAAAGTTATTCTTTGCTAGAACTAGCTCTGGTCTTCCAGTCCTCCACCTATGTAGCCCTTTGCTTTGCAACAGGATGGAGAGGATCTTGTTGTGAAGCAGAGGGCTACATTGAAAGAGTTTTCTATCTTAAATTCTTATTAAATTTTACAACAAAAATTTTCTCAGGTATAAATTCCTTGTGGGATTGTGCGCATCTTGATGAAGACAAATTATCATTCTTGGATGAGCATGATATGCAGCGCACCCTAGTGGCCGTGGGCGAACTAAAGAACAAGTTTCTACTCAAACAGTGGCTTGCGCATCACAACCTGCAGGAATATGAGTCTAGGTAAGTGACATGAATGAATATTAGCATTTAATATGAAAGTCCAATATCTCGGACCATTTCTATTTCTAAGAGAGGTGTGTGCTCACTGGCACTTACAACCTGACACATTGCACCACCTAGTTAGGTTTCTTGTAATCTTTTCGCAGAAAATACAGGAACATATAAGCACTGCCTGCTATAGGAGGGTGTGCACTGATTGGTGTAAATTAGATTGAATCGGCTTAAAGATTTAGTACACCCAGCACAGTTGGAGGTGATGGGAAGCAGTACACACCTTTAAATATCACATTATGTCATTAAAATGTGTTACCTATCAATGTATAATCTTTTATTGTTAAGTGTCACCTTTTCACTACATGCCCACTGAATATCTGTGTGAAACAAGTAGTGAGAAGCACCAGTAAAGATAAAAGTGCTCAGCAAAATCTCAATGCACTTTCATTGTACTCTGGTGAATATGAATATTACATGTTTGCCTAACAGTGTAGTCATAGGTGGGTCGCTTTGCACGTTGAAGAATTCTGCACACGCATCGCAGCAGAGGCAAAAATCTATTCTTACCAAGGGCAATTCATCCTTGAGTGAAAACGTGTTATGTAATTACCTCCGCCAGGGGCTTGGCGGGGGTTATGTTTTCACCGGCGTGTCTTTGAGTGTTGGTTTGTGGGTTTGTGTGTTACCATGCACGTTTCAGTTCACTTCCGCTAGGTGCGCTGGCTGTAGACTTACAAACACACAACCACAGGCTAAGGGGCAACCACAGTCCTCCCCCACCTGCACGCTCGCACTAATCCGGATCCAATTAATTAATTAATTAATTTTTCCACTTAATTAATTAATTAATAAAAAATTTCACATTGAGAGAATTCAGCTGCTTTGGCGGAGGTCTGTGCTCTCCGAGTGCTCTAGTTGTAGTTTTATCCTTCGTATAACCAGAATATAGTAACAAAATCACTAGATCTGCCCTTCCGTGTAAGTGCATGCGTAGCAGCGTATGCAGACAGCGGTATAAATAGCCAACCTTAGCTGCACTCCCATGCAATGTGCTTGTAGCTGTTGATTAAAATGTACCAGGGTCCAATTGCCTGCAGTCCACATAATGTTGGTTGCATAGGAGTGTTGTATTGGTACTGGGAGGGAGCGAGTCAAAGCCAAACCTCTTCTTGCAAGTATTTATTTGTACTTTTCCTGAGAAAAATTGAAGGTCATATTTTAGGAAACAGGAAACAAGGAAAATTTCAGTGCGTAAGATTTTCATGTATCCATGTTAAGCAAACCATTTAATTTGTACTTGTTAATTAAAAAAAACGTTCACAAGTGGAGAAATTTCTGTTATGTAATCTCCAGCATTCTCAACTTAAGATCACAGCCAGAGCAATCAGACTTAATCTCCAAGAAAATATCTTATTTTTTTGCTGTGATCTTGAGGTAGAAATTAACTTTTGAACACGGGAGTCCAACGGACTCCCTACCCCCAAAAAGAGGGAGTCCGCAGTCGGATGTTCAAAATTAAAGATATTAACAATAACGCATGTGCTTATTTTTAAGATTCATGCGTATAATTGCTGGTTTATGTTGAGAATGTAGTCCGATTAAAGGATTCTTGAATTATTTCAACACCTTTATATATTTGAATTGCCATTTGGCATATTCTTTTTTCTTGCATAACTCGCCTTTCCTGTGAAAGCTTACTGTCATAAGACTAGGAAGCGCATGAAACATTGACTTCAAGGAATGCTAAGCCACCTTGCTTTAGAAACCCTTTTAGATCCAACCTCTATCAGCATTCACCATCACCTAGTGCTGTAGCTTATTGCAGCCTCTAGGACCAAGTAACAAGTTCCAATTCTCCTATATTTTGTTACCAACAATTAACATTAGAGACTAAGTACTAGAATCATGTTACCCATTAGGACCCTCCTAAGGACGTTGCTAGTCACCGACTACCAGAAACAATTATTAATAACCTATATTGTTCACCTAGGACACTGTTATTGCCTACGGTCTGTCACACTAGCAACACTGAGACTGTGGCTCTGTACCCATGTCTAACACTTCGGTAGCCTGGCCATCTGTCATGACATCTATCATGAATCTATAACCTGATTGCTGACCCAGTCATCTACATGACTATTCCAATAAACCTAGTGGGAGCCTACACTAATTATGCATGAGTGCTAGTGTAAAATTATTGCTCAGCTTATTGCAGAGTTGGCATGTTTTCATTAGTACTCTAATGCAAGTGGCTACCTGAATGCAAAGTTAATTCAATCTTGCTATACTCTCTACGTCTCTCCATATGCTTCCTGCTTGTTTGTATTTTACCATCTATTCAGCTGTTTATCTGTCTGTCTGTCCGTTCGTCCTTCCATCCATCCATCCGTCCATCCCATCCATTCCACCCATCAGTTGGTCAGTCTGTCCATCCATCAATTGATTCATCCACCCATCAATCCATCGTTCCATCCATCCATCCATCCACCCATCCATCCATCCATTCATCCATCCATCCACCCAACCATCCATCTATCCATCCATCCATTCATCTATCCATCCATCCATCCATCCATCCACCCATCCATCCATCCATTCATCCATCCATCCACCCAACCATCCATCCATCCATCCGTCTGTTCATCTATTCATACAGTTATCCATCAAATCTAGCTATCCCATCTATCTCTTCCAAATACACACATGTGTGGATTAAAGTGTAATGCTGTGCATGCGTGCGTTTGTGCATATGTCATGTAGCTACTCTCCTACATCAAGCATCTCTCCCCCTTACTATTATACATACACAGACACGCACGCACGCACGCACGCACGCACGCACGCATATATATATATGTGTGTGTGTGTGTTTGTTGTGTGTTTGTGTGCGTGCGTGCGGGCGGGCGTGCGTGCATGTGTGTGTTGCTGCTTCTCTGTTCTCACTGCTCATTGATTGATAGCACAATACGTGGTTACGAGGTGAAACACAGAACTGCTGGCTCGCTCGCTCACAGGCCAACCAACACACACACGCGCACGAACACAGCAGTATTGTGCCTCTCGTTCTTCTCGCAGGCTTCACCGTTTCGATTGCCATTCGCTGTCGAGCCTCTTGTATATTGAGCTGGATGTGCTGCGGACTCTCGCTACATCTTCGTACGACTACGACCGCTGGCTGGCGGCTCTTGCTGACCTGCAGCAGAACTATATCGAAAGCTCGGTGCTGACAGAGGACGAGTGGATTGCAGCTGATGATTATTTAACATGGCACTCTGGTAAGCACAGACTTCGAAGGAGGGGACGCTCAATTGATTATGGATTGTCTAGGATTTGACGTGGCTCTGGGCTTGAAATCAGTACGAGTCGCATTTCAGTGCATGTTTGTTAGGTATGATATTGCAACCCATTATTTATACATTTGCCAGTGCAGTTGTAAGTTGCTTACCCCAATGTTAACTTAAGGTAGCAAACATACTACACATCGTAATTCGTATGGCATATAGGGTAAAGCACTAGCAGTATGTATAGAAGGATATATGCATATGTTTATCAGGGTGCGAAATTAACGAACAAATACTCCCTGATTTACTGTCGGACTCCATGATTTGACATATGCAGGAGTCCGTGTGACTCCCTGAAAATTCTGCGATACTGACTAGTTCGTTCCGGAGCTCGGCCTCGCGGAATTACCGTATTTTTTCAGCTAATGTCCCAAGAAAATTTGGCAGACGTGCAACTGCATGAATCTTAAAAATAAGCACATGCGTTATTGTTAATATCTTTAATTTTGAACCTCAGACTGCGGACTCCCTCGTTTTGCTGCGGACTCCCTCTTTTTGAGGGTAGGGAGTCCGTTGGACTCCCGTGTTCAAAAGTTAATTTCTACCCCTGGTTTATGGTAAGAGTAGCTAGCGATTGTAATGGTAATTTTACAGATTAGTTTCCACACAACCTTGGCACCAAAAACCGTATCGAAGTATTCTCTGTTGTCGATGGTGAATGTGTATGGAAGTAATAAAACAGAGGAATCGGGAAGGAAAGTTAGGTTCTCTTAGTAGACGTATACTGCACAGATTATGAACACATTTGTGCATGGAAGTATTAATTACAAATGATAATTATAAAACATACTAAAACTCTAAAAACTAGGTAATAAGTCCTCGTTATCATTAAACAGCACCAATAAGATTTCCTAACGAATATATTTAGCTAAAATTTGTAACTAACAAATAATATCTTCAATAGCTAAAGTACTGTATCAACTAGATGAATTTTTACTAAACTTACTAAAAGATTTCTAATTTCTATATTAGACAATATAAATGTTTTGGTGTCTGTAAACATTAGCATATTGTTTTATCTTAAAAACTAATATAAAACCAACTGCTTGTGTGTGTGTGTGTGTGTGTGCGTGCGTGCGTGCGTGCGTGCGTGCGTGCGTGCGTGCGTGCGTGCGTGCGTGCGTGTGTGTGCGTGTGCTAGAGTATTAAAATTGTCACTGTACAGCCTGTGAACGCAGAAGTTTCATCTTGGAACATTATTGATTGACACACTGGGGTCTAGATATGAGTGTAAAGTCAGTGGCTTGTGTGTCAAACCATATTAGCTATACAAATACATACATACTGGATTGTACGTACAGCAGAAAGATAGGAGGGTATAGAGGGCAACTGGAATGAATGAGTTAAAGGACGAGTGAGTTAGCGAAAGTGAGCGAATGCGGAAGAGAGAAGAGAGGTATAGAGATGGAGAAAGAGAGAACACAAGGTATATATATATATATATATATATATATATTTATAGAGAGAGAGAGGGAGAGAGAGAGAGAGAGTCTCGAGTCTATCTGTCTATCAATCAATGGATAGATATATAGGTAGGTAATTGGGAAGGGTGGGTGGGTGGACGAGTAGGTGGATCGATCGATAGATAGATTGATAGATAGATAGATAGATAGATTGATAGATAAATAGATAGATAGATGGACAAACAGACAGACCAAGTGTGGTGGGGGGGGGCGGCCAGGTAGATGGCTGGGCGATTGGGCGGATGATGGATGGATTGATGCATGTATGCGTGCGTGCGTGGGGTGAGTGGGTCGGTCGGTCGGTCAGTCGGTCAGTCGATTGATCGATGGGGAGTGGGGGAGGGGGATCGATGGATGGATGAAGAGAAATTGTGAGAAATATGATGAGATTTCTAGGAGACCATATTTTACTCTATATTCTAAACTATTACAATAATGATGGCTGGGTATAGGTCAATCATGCACTTTGTCTTATATTTATCTCTATTGTTGTTGTGCAGAAATATATTTGAGTAGGCCTAGATATACCTTCTGTGATAAAAAATCTTTAATATTTAGAATATTTATTATAAATCATATCGATGCAATCAATACGCTCCCATGTCCAAACTTGATGTCGTTATATGAGTGGGTTGTATCTGCTGTGTTGCAGGAGCTATTATGTTGCTGATACTCATGCTGGCATCTGGAGTTGTTGCCATGACAATGACTCATCTACAGGCTCTGTCCACTGATGCAATAAATCACAAAACCTCCTTCTTTGAACTCGTTACTGGTAAGTTGCTGAGAGCTATACGTCGACCTAAATGATCTGCACTGGCTCAAGATTGATTCGGGTTTTTATCACGTTGACTCGGAGAAAACTGAGATTTGTGAGTGCTGTGCATGCCATTAGCAAGTAATTTAATAAATATTGAATATCGCTCGGATTGATATTGGATGAACAGCACAGCGAGTGCCTCGTACATAGCGTGTGACCGAGTAGCCATAGCAGTGGCAGTAATGACTAGTAGTTTGCTCTCTGTTGACAGGCAAATATCTCTCTCCTCATCACTGCCGCGTGTTTTTCGATTGGGAGGAACCACAGCAGGTTGGCCACACGATGACTATCAAGATCAAAGTGAGATGGCATTACGACTCTACTGTACACACAATCAACACACGTGCTCATTGTCATCACTGTGTAGCGCATATATGTGACCTGTTATAGCCAAATGTGTCGGAAGTCGCACATATAGATTTTACGCTATGTGTGGTTTTACCTGTACATGCATGAAATTTTTGTTTTTGGGATTTTAACTGAAATAGATGATTTCTATCGGAATATCTGGGTGAAATTGATTTGTTGGGTGTGAATTAGACTATTTTGTATTGAATATATTAATATATATAATATATTTGAATTTAGTCACACTTTAGACTCTGTTTTCTATAATTTCTTCAGATTTTTCAAGGGGTATTTAAATTACTTCAAATATCCATAACTTTTTTTTTTATCCAATTCTCAAAATGTTTGGACCAATATGAAGATAAAAGACTGCAGAACATCACCATATATGGTTATCTGGAAATTGAAAAATTGCTCCAAGTGACACATTTGGCTATAACCAGTCACATATACCAGTAACTTCCTGTGAAGAGTGGCTTCTTCTTTACACTATTCTTGAGTAGTTTGTCAAAATCATTGTGCTATTCTACAGCCTGCAAAACATCATTGGCACGAAGTTGTTGGTTTATGTTGTGCTGAGCTTTCGCTTTCCTTGCCTTCTAATTCATTGTAACATTGTTGCAAAGTTCTTTCAACGCAACAGCCGACCCTACCCCATCAGTGACTGTGACGGTGTCCTTGTGGAGATCATGATGGCTGACTATAAGGTAGGCACTTCATGATGATAATTTCTCATGCCGGTCTATTTAGTCTCATTTGTTAGGTGGGCTAGAGTCTACTTGCTGTAGCATGATGCTGCAAAGTAGACGTTGTTTCCAGTTTGGGTGGGGAATTCTATTGGTCGCACCGCAGTTGCTATATGCCAAAAACAGTGTGTTCATGGTCACATTACTGTATCATGCCCCTACTTTGCTGCTCTTTGGATGATATGCCAACATGCTCGGTGTACTGAGCCACTTTTCTAACAAGAAGGCAAATTGCTCAGTCGATAGTTTCACGTTTTTTACTTCACTATAAAAAGGATTCCTTCTACTCAGTTACAGTTCATTATACCTATTTTTATCTATTACTGATTTTTTTCTGCCAAGAGCTCGCAACAAAAACGTTTACTTTATGACACAAGATTAGCACTTCAGTCTTGGTTATTTTAAGTAAAAAATGTGTTAGGTCTAAGACATCTAACCTTTCATCCAAGGTAAGGTGTTTATATGCCAGGCTGTCCAATATTGTATCATCTGTGAGCAACGAATTTTTAGTGATGTGCGTAAACATAGGAATAGATCCAGGAATTTTCGAATTTGAAGGGTCCTTAGGATGCGGAATGGAGGGGGGGGGGCGTACATGACACAGTTTTCTCTGTGTTAATACAATTGCTGTCCAATTGAACTGCATATTATCTAATTTGATGCACTACTCTATTTCAACTAAGAGAAAAAATTTCCCCACATATTAGAAAAGTCAGGATCCCTTGGGTTCTGCCTCGGGGGAATATTTGCAACATTCGCAATGATGTCACTGTATGGCACATACATAAGCAGACGATCTGTTGCACACAGGTGGCGACATCTACAGAGTTTGGTGCGCTGAACCCCTCAGATGTGAACACGGCGACGGTGACCTTCACCGTGAGGAAGGCCGGAGAGTATAAGATTGCCATCATGGTCGGGGCTCACCATGTTAGGGGAAGCCCTTTTCTCAAACGCTTTCACTCTGGTGAGTTGACTAACCCTCTCTTAGGGGGGCATGTCGCTAAACGCAGCCCTGACTGGTTTAGCGGCAGTTCACTATTATCAATAATATCATAGGTGTGAAAACCATACTCTGGCAAGGGGACAGTGTTGTGTGCTCTACGTAATACAATTAAACATCATTTTAAACCTTTCCACTAAATTGTCATGGGGGGGGGGGGTAATTGTCTTGGGGATGACTGGGAGTTTATTATCCAGGAGGCACTTGTCCTGATACCAATAAAGTATACTGTCTGCGAGCTCAACACTCTTCTTGACCTCTTTAGAAACATCCTGTTTGTCTTCAGAGGTCTATATCTAAACAAGCAATGAATCTTTATGATAAATTGTTGGGCATGTACAATAACTGTAGGGTTTTAGGCTTTTAGCACAAATTAGCAGCTAAGGCTAAATGTAGTAAAAGGTTTGGTATCATCTGCAGTGAACCATGCATGTGTTATTTTTACTTGCCCACACTGTGTGAATTCTCACGAGCATAGTGTGTGCACATACGTTGCGTAGATTAGAAAATAACGTTGGATCACACACCAGATTGTTATGGACAAGCTGTGTACTCACGTGTGTGTATGTGTGTGTGCGTGCGTGCGTGTGTGCGTGTATGCATGCTTGCGTGCGTATATGCCTGCGTGCATTTGTGCGTGCGTGCGTGCGTGCGTGTGTGCGTGCTTGTGTGCTTGTATGCGTGCTTGCGTGTGTATATGCCTGCGTGCATTTGTGCGTTCGTGCATGTGTGTCCCTGTACCATGTGTGTACATGTATGTGTTTGTATAGGCTTACTAGTGTGGAGTAAGACAGGTTCATTCACTGCTGTTCTGTGTGTGTGTGTGTGTGTGTGCGTGCGTGCGTGCGTGCGTGCGTGCGTGCGTGCATGTATGTGTGCGCACGTGTGTGTACGTTTACTAGTGCAGGGTAAGAGAAGCTTCATTCACTATTGTTCTATGTGTCTCTCTCTTTCTGTGTGTGTAGGCTCACTAGATCCGAGTAATACAGGTTTCATTCACCACTATTCTATGTGTGTGTGTCTCTCTGTGTGTGTAGGCTCACTAGATCCAAGTAAGACAGGCTTCATTCACCACTATTCTATGTGTCTCTCGCTCTCTCTCTCTCTCTCTCTTTCTCTCTCTGTGGGCTCACTAGAGCCGAAAAAGACAGGCGTCATTCACCACTATTCAATGTGTGTGTCTGTGTGTGTGTGTGTGCGTGCGTGCGTGCGTGCGTGCGTGCGTGCGTGCGTGCGTGCGTGTGTGTGTGTGTCTGGGCTCACTAGATCCAAGTAAGACAGGCTTCATTCACCACTATTCTATGTGTCTCTCTGTGTGTGTGTAGGCTCACTAGAGCTGAGTAAGACAGGTTTCATTCATCACTATTCTATGTGTGTGTGTCTCTCTCTCGCGCGCGCTCTTTCTCTCTCTCTCTCTCTCTCTCTCTCTCTCTCTCTCTCTCTCTCTCTCTCTGTGTGTGTGTAGGCTCAGGCTAGAGCTGA